TATTTGTAATTATTGGTCTTATAGACCAGAGAAACCCCTAGTGGATTCTTAATACAAATTATTAAATAAAGATAAAGACAAAACCTCATTTTAAAAAAAAAAAAAAAAAAAAAAAAAAAAAAAAAAAAAAAAAAAACTGTAATAATAAACTACAAACAATCTTTATTTGTAATTGCTAATATAAGTTTATATAATAATGTAATAATGACAGTATGAAGTTAAATCGGAAATATGTACGGTCAGAAGATCACATGACTGTGTCTTCGATTGGTGGTAACGCTAGATTTGCTTAAATATATTATATGAATAAATGCTAATATTAGCAAAGTTAGATATTAAAAATAATATTTGGAGGGGAGTTAATAGAAAAGAGGCAAAAGTTTTTTTACTTCAAATTTAAATATTTCAACAACTAACTATCCAATCAAATTTAATAATTTTTTTATTTAATTCTATATAATTCTAAAATTAAAATAAAAAATTTTTATCAAATTTGATTAAATAGAGTTGAGATATTTTGATTTAAAAATTAAAAAATTTTACTAAAACGAATTTGTTCCTTTTCTATTGACTCCCCCATTTGTCGAAAATGAATTACAAAAGTTTTTTAATACATCCAATTCTTTTAAGTGCTTGAGAACTTGATTTGTAAAAGATTTACTAATACCTAAGTGTTTACCAATTTTTTGAATTAATAAACCTTCTAAAGTTTTTTTATTTGCCAATGAAGATGCTTTAAAAACAAATCTCAATAAAAAGTTTTTATCTAATTTTTGTATAAAATTTGTAAATTAAATTAATTTAACAATTTTTATACAATTATGAGTATTATTTATATAGTTTTTGTAGACAATTTGTAATAAATATGTAATAATTTTATTTAGAAATCAGAGCAAATTTATTTTTTTATTTTTATTTTTTGTTTACATATATAAATATTATATTAAATATATGCTAATTTTGCAGCAAATATATACTACATATGTTAAATAGATATTATTATAAAATATATATAAATTTGAATGTAAAAATATATTAGATAAAATAAGAATATAGCTACTATAGATATAAATAAATATTAATTAAATTTGTCAACTTATATCTATAATTCTTTATTTAAATTATACTTCTTTAAAAAAAGACAAGTGATTATTGTATTACTTTATGCTTGCGATTTAAACACCTTGAATAAGCTAAAAATATGCCAATATTTTTTGTTAATTTTTGGTAGTATAAAAGTGCCGTAGATATTGCGGTGCAAGTGTGTTAATATGATAAATCAATGTCTTGTAATTTATTAATATTGAGCAAAACCAGTGATATAGTAGAATGAAATGTATAGTTAAATTCAAGTTTTTTTTTCATATACAAAATCTTGAATGTAGTAATCATATGATTTTTATTATACAATAAGGATTGTTGACAATATCACACAGAAACTTATTATAATTCATGAAAAAACTTAATTAACCTGATCTCAATTTATCACATTAGCTCATCTTTACCATAATATCTACGGAACCTTATATATGCATGCCAAAATTTAGACCCACTTACTTTGCAGATCATTATCAAGTTTTTTTGAACTTTCAAGATTTTTTCCTTTCTTAGGCTTGTGGCCTTTTGTTCTATTATTAGTAGAAGATGTTGTATCTTGTATCTCATCAATATTAAGTGCTGATTCTAAGGTTTTAAAAAATAGTCACTGACAAGTTTAATATGATATAGAGTAATAATAAGATAAATAACTTACCAATATTTTTTTCTGATAAATTTGGATCACTTTCATTAATATCAATAGATAAATTGTGATTAACACAGTTTCATTTTGTAGCTCTTTTACTATTATTATTTGAATCACTTTTGATAGATGTATTGTGATCAACATGTTTTCTATTTTTAAATTTATAGGCTCCAGTTCTATTATTAGTGGGAGTAGTTGTATCTTGAGTTTTGGAGATTTCATCAAGTACTGACCCTATAAGTTTTAAAAATAATCATTGCAAGTTTAATACAATGTAAAATAATAATAATAAGATAACAATTACTAATATCTTTTTCTGATAAATTTGAATTGCTTTCATTAACATCAATAGGTGCATTGTGATTAGCTTGTTTTCTTTTTTTAGCGTCGTTTGTATCACTTTCATCAACATCGATAGGTGCTTTGTGATCAACTTGTTTTTCCTTTTTAGCATATTTACTATTGTCATTTAGATCACTTCTATTAATATCAGCTAGTGCATTGTGATCGACTTGTTTTTTTTTTTAGCTTTTTTTCTACTCGGTTTACGGACTCTGGTTCTATTATTAGTAGAAGTTGTATCTTGAGTTTTGGTCATCTCGCTAATATTAAGTGCTAGTCCTATAAGTTTTAAAAGACAGTCACTGACAAGTTTAATATAATGTAGAAAAATAAGATAAACAAACTTACTAATATTTTTCCCAATAAATTTGTATCACTTTCACCAGTGTCGATAAATGCATTATGATCAATATGTGTTTCTTTTTTAGCTCTTTTACTATTGCTGGTTTACTGGCTTTGATTCTATTATTAGTAAAAATAGTTGTATCTTGAGTTTTAGAGATCTTACTTATATTAAGCATTGAGTCTGTAAGTTTTAAAGATGGTTATTAACTTGTTTAATATAGAATAATAATAATAGGATAAATTAAGTTTATATCTATAATTGATATAACGATGAATCATTTCATGTTCTGCCTAATCACTGACTGTTACCGAGAAAAATAGGTTTTTTTTACGAAACTAGTACAAAATAATTTAAATTAAAAAAAAAAAATATATATATATATATATATATATATCAAATAAAAGTTAACCCAAATTAACTCTTTCCAACGATCCCTTGGTCAACAACAAAAAAAATCGAACTATAGTAAAAAGTTATAAAAAAACAACAAAGTGAACACTACAATACTCTTGCTACATACTTATACTACTTGCTATCAACTAAACTTATAAATATGAAACATCGAGAAGTGAACATATAACCAAAAAGTGGGTCTTGTATTGTTGTCAAGTTTCTTTTTTACAAACTGTTATCGATGAAGTTCTTAAACGTGATATACTGAGGCACAGGCACTGTGGACAGTTTGCACAGAGGTCAAGCTTCCTGTTGTCACTGGAGTGAACTCCCCTGTGTATTCGGTATCCAAATTGGAGGAGTCTCTGGGAACAGCAAAGAAAAAGAAATAGACTTTCTATACTTTCGACATCCAAACCAAAAGGATATTTTGGGAGTAATGTCCCTGTTGGGTCCTTGTGCAAGAATATCTAGTAGAAACAGAGGAACTGGACTATACTACTATAACTCTTACAA